TTGTTGGCTGGATAGCTTGGTCACGATCCGTTTGTCTCAAGTTATTCATCCGTTTGTTCTAGTTTAATTGTATTCTTTACTTATTTTATGTCCTCTCGCTGTTTCAGAAAAAAAAAAACAAAGGAAGAACTCTTTTATGTCTTTATGTGTGTGTTTTCCGCTCTTTCAGAGCTTTGCTGTGAACTGCATATGCTTGGCGCCTATTTGTTGGTGGGTACTGCTATTGTTTCTTATTTCTGTCAGTAAGAATGGGAAAAAGTTGGAAACATACGCTTATGGTTGCTCAGTGATATCCTGAATTTGAATGAGATTCGCAAGTTCTTAGAGCATTGACTGCTTCACTCCTAACTGCTTAAGTTTTCAGTTTGTAAAACTTCTGCCATAACTACTATGTTGAACCTTTTGGTAGTTCTCCTCAAATTAAAGTCATTGTATCAGAACTTACCCTTTTGGACTAAGACAGTTTGTCACATTTGTAATCAATGTTTCATCAGCCTGCTGTTACTTGTTGGGCTGATAGGGGTTAGCAGTGATATAGGATTTTAGTTTTTTTTTTTCATTTCATTTTAGAGATTTCAACTCTTTTCCATATTTTGCATTTAAATAATTGTTTTTTTGCTGTTTATCAATAAAAATAAATTGCTTTTTGCTAGACAAAAGACTTTTCATTGATTAAAGAAGTAGACTATGATGCAGTTACACTTTTCTTGTATATATATGATATCAGATACAGGAGATAAGCCGCAGAGGAGGACATTGGAGTGCCTTATTGCAATACTTTGACTATCCAGATGAAAGTATGTTCTCTGATATGTTCTGGTTAATTTGTTGCTCTTGCTAATTAACAGAATGCCTTATGCCTTGGAATTTCGAATCTTAAATTCATGGGTGCATTTTCTATGTTTAATTTACAGGACAATTTACTTTCTTGATATCTGAATTTTAAATGACAATGCATGGAGATTTTATGCAGAGACTACCATCTAATGCCATATCTTGTAGTTACTAAATACAACAACCTACCCAGTCAAATCCCACAAGTGGGTTCTGCAGTTGTAGTTGCTAAATACATGTACAAAATATTGTTGTGAAAAGTTACATAAGATACTTCCATCTCAAGGCTGTAGCAGTTGTAAATTCTTATCACTCATTTGGAAACCTGGCATATCTGGCAGTATCAGAAGTAGACAGAAAAACATTTTATATGTCGAAGTTGTCTTTACTCTTTCCCTCGGCAGAATTTGGGAGTTGGAGCTAGACACAGATCCTCTTGGTGTTCGTTCCAACCGAGGCTAAAAAAAGTTGATAAATCTCCGATCACAGAGAAATTGTGTAATGTAGTAGTATTAGTTCTTTTATTCATGTTTTTGATTCTTGAGAGCTGGTTTATTGATCTAGAGTAAGTGAGCCGAAACACTGCCTCCTAGTTTGCTGGATCTATCTTTTAGGTACCTTTTAGTGTTTGTCAGGGAGAGTGTCACTGTGCTGCTAGCCCTATTGCCTTCTGTCATTGAACAACTTCAGCTAGTACCTTCTTTTCTGTTAATGCCATTGGAATCAATGGAGTTTTGCTCTTTACAACTTGTATTTTAATGCTTCCGTTCTTGGTCAATAGATGCTGATGTTTATGTCAATGAGCATGTACACTGTTGTGTTTCACTTTCCCAGAAATACTGAATTACAAATCCTAATTCTCAGCATCTTCCTTGCCTCCTACTTCAAGCTTTCACAAATTTTGTTATATTATATTATATTCTCATAATTATCTCCAGTTCCAACATTTTTTTACCTATTCCCTAGTTGTGGTTACATTAACTTACAACTTGAAAACTCAGCTAGTTTTGAATACCTACCATTATGATATACCAAATGGAGACAGTTAGCTGTAACTGGTCATTTCTGCTCTATTGAGTTCAGTGTTTTAAATGATGAGCATTTTGTATGGGTTAACCTCATATGTCATGACAAGTTACTGTTCAGAGTTCTCTTGATTTGTGAATTGAGAAACTTGTGTATTTGGATACACTGTTGCTTTCAGACTATATCCAAGTAAATGTTACTCATTGTGATTGTCATTATAGAATGGGCATGGACAGAGCTAAATCAGATGGGGCAACTGATGCTGCGACCTGAGTATCCTCCAGTCCATTTGAAAAACAAAGTGTCTGATGTCAGCTCAAATTCGGATGTAACTGTTGTTGTTGATGGTACTTGGAGGGAGGGCGATTTGGTTGACTGGTTGTACGATGACTGTTTATTGGTCCGGACAAGTGACAAAGTTACTTTACAATGGTAAAGCTAAGGTAATAGTATTGTATTTCACACATGCTGATTAATAAGTTGGTGTGTTTACTGCTGATATCCAGTTATATGCATTAGGAATCCCCTAGTTGTCCTTTAGAAATAAATTACTGCAAAAAGTTGTTAAGGATATTGTAGGAATACAGGATATTTACTGTTATGGTGAATTTACATTATCATTAACATTGTATTGGAATGATATGAACTTGGATAGAGCTGAATGATTACATATGATTCCACAACTTTATTTGGGATTGAAAGTTGGTCGATTGATTGATTATTGAGATCCTTAGGCAAAACAACTACTTTCTGGGGACTGTCATGATGCCTTTTACTTGAGATTTATTTCTTCAAATCGATGTGATAATTAAAAGCAACTTTAGTTGTGCACTTAAATTTTTTTCCTTGAAGATCCATCCTCTACTCACCATGCATGACAGCTCTGTATCTTAGCTAATGATTTGTATGATAATACTTCATGTTTTTTTCTTTTTAGATTGAGTTGTTGCCACCTCCATTGGGTGAAGGTGAAACTTATGACGCCTTTGTCAAGGATTTGCGTCCATCCTTAGATTGGTCTCCAGAGTGTGGTTGGGTTATGCCTGCATCACAGGTTCTTTCCTCAAACTTTTATGATCTCAATTAGTTAGTAGTATTAGAAAATGTTATCCATTCAAGGATAAGGGAAATATATTGCGGGATTAAAGAATACCTAATTTGACTGGAAAGGAAAATAATTTAGTATTTATATGAAATGGGCCTAAGTAGAGCAGAATGGATATAGGGGATTTCTATGGCTGACTCAAATTGACATGACGTTGAGGCATAGTTGAGTGATGATTGTTTATTGAAGAATGGGCGCTTTTCTGTGCACGGTTGCTTCTTTTTGGTCAAGGAATTTTTTCAAGAGAAGCATTCAATCATTTTAACCATTTACTCTTATGTTGGAATTACGTTACGTGACCTATATTCTTCTGTATACTCCTTCCTCTGGTGCTTAATTTTCTTTCGTATACTTGTCATTTGACCACTGCAGGCTGGTGAAAGTTCTTGCCAATATCCTCAGCTACTTAAACTTGTTAGTCAAGGTAACAATTATGTGATACAAACTTCTTAATTGACTGTTAAAGAACTTATTGCTGTACCCATAGGGGTAAAATTACATAAGAGATCGTAATGGGAAGTGATGTTTTTTATTTTGTAATGTAAATGAATAGATTCTGTTGGTCCAGTGAAAATATGATCCTGCTCCTAAACTTTGTGAAACTTTAGGGGTTGGTTGGTCTAGGTAGGAGTTTTAATCTCCACATAAAATCTAGAATTCTTTAGTATGTGCCCACGTTATGTAGGAATTTGTATGTTATTTTATGTAGGAATTAGTGTAGAATACGAATGTAGGTCTTAGTAATACATGGATTAATAACACTAAAATCCAAAACTAACCGTCATATTAGTAGACAAACTTTATTTTGTGCACTAATTGCTATACATCAGTCTAAACATCCAAAAAGAAATAATCCCTACATTACTCATCTCTGCACAACTCGTCTCTAAACCAAAATGGCCCCTTTAGTGCTTTACCAATAAGCATGTGATGCTGTAGCTATTCGTTGAATGTCTGTTATTTAAATTTGTCTTTCTTTGACTAGAAGGATTGCATCGCTATGGTTCAATCTGTAGTTTTTGGAATAGTTACTGTTTCTTTCTTTGACATAGGTCGTAAATATGATTTAAATAATGTTATTATGTGCACTCATATTGCTTAATTTGGAACATGCTTCCTTACCTTTGTATTTCGAGGCAAATATATATTCTTTAAAAGATTAAAGATGGATTTACGTTTAAACCAATATATTAATTTTGACGTAAATATATATTCAGAACTATGCTTATCATTCCTCTTTAAAGCTCTCTCTTCAATCTCCTAGGCTTACCTGGTTGCGCTGGTAAAATCAAGTGGTATTGCACATCAATAGGCAGTTAACATTAACCCCCACTCGTTAAATAAATATACATTTGCACCTTGTTAAATAACTTAACCAGGGTAAGTTGATGTTGTTTGGTGTGGAACACTAGGTGCGAGTAAGTTTATCTTGATCAGCTCTGTGCACTTCTCCCAGAAGAAACTGATTAATTGAATCTCATTCTGCACTCATTTAGCTTATACAGTTGGTGATCTCTGGATCTTGTCGTATCATTGTTAGGAGTGTTTACTTGAATCACAGTTTTAATGCATTCCAACTAAAATTATCACATCTTTGTTTTCTGTTAAATACGAATTATCTACCTGAAAAAGTCCTACTCGATTTCGGCTTGTAACTATGATTGCAGCTTATTTTGATGTTCTAATTGTAGGACATGCTATAGTTAAAGGGAGAAGGGGCAGACAGGCAAGAACTGGATCGTCGTCAAACTCATCTTTCTATACTCGTTTGTCTGGTTACCTACAAAGGGACGTCACAATTTCAAAAGATGCTGCAAACAGATCAAACGACATGTTAAAAGAAACCACATCTTATGCATCTTCCTTTGCTCATAGCTCTGCAAAATCTTTACCTGCCTTGGATGATAAAAGGGGCTCTGAATCCAAAGAGTTACTTGATCAATTTTCAAACATTGCTGAACTAAAAGAAGCTGCAAACATTTCATCTATTAGAGATGATGCATCAAAAAGTGTTGCGCCAACTGATATGGATCAAAAAGTGTTGGGCCTACTCAACAAGTTTAAAACCAGTGGTGAAATTCCATTCAATTCGTTGGAGTCCGATGAATTGGAGGAAGCAATTCTTGATTTAGAGGAACTTGCAAACAAAATCAGTCGGCCCAAACAGCTTATGGAATCCAAAAGACCTCTGTCTGATGGTGTTACACCTTCATGGAAGTTTGTAAAACACTATGGAACATCGACAAAGAATTGATGGCTTCGGAAGTTTGGCTTGATCCTTCCTGTCTTTGAGGTTATTCCTTACCCCTATTGAAATTTTAGCTGCTGTCCTAATTCAAATCCACTTTGATCATGCTTAGAATTTGCTCGTTTTTTCCCTTCATATGTATGCTGTGTTTTCAATAATATTTGCGATTTATTTCTGGATTCTAGCTAGGATACGATTGAGAGAAACACATCCTGAAGAACTTGCTTAGAAATATTCACTTGTAGTGAACGATCACTACAAGTTAGTATTTCTTTTCTACACAACAAATTCTACGTTCTACGTTCAGCTGGAGGATGCCTTTTTGAGGAGCCATGGCAAGTCACTTGCTCTACTCCTTTACTTTTTGTATCTCCATTACATGAAACTTTTCCGATTACTCATCAAATGATAGAGGTGATATACTGTCCTTCTCGTTCGAGATTCATGCAGACTTCTTTCCTGAATCTTTTCGGTCAACATCAAAGCTGTGTAAACTGTGGATGAAATTTCCAACTTATAATTCATCAAAGAGTGTCTGTGACTGATAAAATTGATGTTATGTACTAGATGTATTTTTTAAAACTTGCTGTGTTGGATATTTGCCCCAATTGCATTGTTTGAGTAAAGATGAAACTTCAAAAATTTCCTATTTTCTGCAATATTACAAATCTTATCAGACTTTGGTGTGTATTTCGGGATACGTTGGTCAAAATTAGGTGTAATTGGTGTGTATTTCGTTACTCTCTTATGTGTCTTGTATCCCGTATATGTAATCACACTAGATACATATAGGTACATGTATCTAGATTCTAGTATATCAAGTGTGATTCGAATGTATCTGAATACATAGACAAATCTTGTTTGCCTCCCTTTTGTTGTTTCTCGCCTCTCTCCTTATTTTGATTTTATTTGGTAGCAAATAATATATATCTAGATGTATCTGACTTGAATGTTCGTATAATTAGATAGTTTATCCATAAAAGTATAGTAAAAGGAGTACTTAAATCTAAAAATGCATAAAGGAAATATATTTAATTAATAATAGTAGTAAAACTTATCCCATGCTTACGTTTAGACAAATAATGGGACTAATTAACATTGTAGTCATTATCTTTAATGGTATTAACTATTAAATACTCATAGACGACATAATTAAGAATCTTAGCATTACACGGCTTTCAATTTGGAATGGAGAATAATAAATAATAATAATATTTTAGTCGTTTTCGTTTATACAAGGTCAACTATTAGGAGGTGACTGACAAAGAAATTTTTATTTTTACACGTAAAAGATTAAAAATATCGTTTTCCTTTATTAAAATTATATATATATATATATAAAAAAGCAAGGATCTCATTTCATTTACAGTATTTTTGGCTGACAATTCAGTCGAACAAATTAACATTCAAGATACGTGAGAATTAGTTCATCAATCATCACATATGAATAATATAATAAAAACACCCTACTACATATATAATTCGATTTTTAAAATGAAAATAACATACCACATATAATTTTACAGTTAAGTCTGAAGATAATAGTCTGCACACAGACTAATTCCAATCATAAAAAATATAAAGAATGTTTTTTATAGACTCTCGACTAAATTTAAAATTGACACATACATATATTTTTGCCGTTCTTTTGTTCTTGTCTTTTAAAAATAGAAAGATAGAGGTTATAAAAGAGGTGACACCCTTTAACATGTTAACAACATCAACACATAGTTTATCGTCATCCAAAAATTACTTATTTCATCTGGAAAATATAGGCCACATATCACAAGGAGCGTGTTAATTAAGACATAATATAATTAAGTATATTTATTCTCTTTTTAACATTTTTATGAAATTGGGTGCTCAATTAATCTAATCATAGTAAATATTGAATATTATTAGTGAAATGAAACAAAAAGAAGTATCACAAAACAGCTTGTTTATACATTTTTAAGTAATCTTATTTTGTCATTTTTCACCAGGATGCCGTTTCACCACATTTAACATTATTTATCACTACCAATAAAACAAAATACTTGTCACTTGTTTTTAGGTGGTCAATTATGAATTCGATAGATTTAGTAATTTTAATTCATATTTTATATGATATATTAAGGAGTTTATTTGATATATATAAAAATTGTAATTTTGAATCCAGTTATTATTACTTAAGGTAGCTATCGTAAAATTCAGAATTCATAAAAATTAAACCCTCAACTTCACTATTAAAAATAATGAAAAAAAAATGATGGATAGGGTCGGTCTGAAAAATCGACCCTACTCATCAATTTTATTTTATTTTTTAAAAACTTTTAAAAACTGACAGATGTCCATTGGGTTTTTCTTTTAGAAAAAATGTCAAAAAGAAAATCACCACAGTCCCTCGGTTTTTAATTATTATTATTATTATTACAAAAACTGACAGACATGGTCGATTTTTGAAGTGAAAAAAAATGCAATTTTAAAGAGTATAAATAAAAACAATGGAAATATTTGATCAAAGAGCAGCACGTATAATCGAGTTGTACGATTATCCAAATAAAGTCATAGAAAATAGATGAGTTTGATTTCAAGTAGCTACATTTTTTGTGTATATTTTTGAAAAATCAACCTTATCCATTGATCAACTGTCCCTCGATTTTAATCGATCCTATTTATCGATTTCACAAAACAAGCAAAATCGATGATGTACAATATAATCCATTGATTTAATCAATTTTCCTTAACAACCAACTCTATCCGTCGATTTTGACCCTTTTTTTTTATAGTAGTTCTTGTTTTTAGCCTAGACCCTCTTTCTTAAATTCCTATATATAGGAGTAATATATACCATCTCCATAAATTAAAACCAACTCAAAAACAAAGTGCAAAAAAAAAAAACTGGTCATGGGTGCACCTTATCTAAATACACGCACATTACAACAACCTCGTGCAATATTTAGTAGAATCCATATTTTGTTACATTTTTCAGCCATATTAGGGTTACTATACTATAGAATAAAAAATTTATTACAAGGAGATGATGTATCAATTATTTCATGGGGACTTATCACAATTTCTGAGGTTATTTTCACTATAATATGGTTAGTTACACAATCCTTCCGCTGGCACCCGGTAGCTCGGTCCGTCATGCCGGAAAATCTTCCGGCTGATTCCGAGTTACCAGGCGTCGACGTGTTTATATGCACGGCTGATCCTACTAAGGAACCGGTTCTTGAGGTTATGAACACAGTTTTATCGGCTATGTCACTCGATTATCCACCGGAAAAACTCTCCGTTTATCTCTCCGATGATGGTGGCGCCACCGTGACGTTGTATGCTATGAAGGAGGCATGTGGATTTGCTAGGGTTTGGGTTCCTTTTTGTAGAAAGTATGGAGTGAAGACTATATGTCCAGATGCGTTTTTCTCTTCTTTTGGTGATGATGAACGTTTGATCCTCAGAGGAAATGAATTCAAGAATGAAGAGAAAAATATTAAGGTAATTTTTTTTTTACCTTTTTAATTTGGATGATAAAATGTTCCAATATTACCGAAAGAAATAGATGTTGAGTCTGAATCAATCCCAAAAGTTAATATAAGAGATAATTAGATTGATCGAAATCATATATAGACAAACCTCTTTATAATAACGTCATTTGTTATTATTATCTTTTGGTTGCAATAATGAAATGTTATTATATATAGAGAACATATAATATATAACATAAGTAACATGAAAAATCGATTTCACAGAAAATATATTATTGTTATAATAAAATGTTTATGTAAAGGATAATGGTAAATAAACCAATTTCCATAATTGATAGGGATTTTAACACTCTCGCATGCTTAGGACTAGATATCTAGAGCGTGAATACTATAACATGAAAGTTCAACATCAAGTAAACCAATAATTAGGATAGAGTTGATTCTGAAACCATGAAAAAAATGAATGTAGGAGCTAATTATTCCTCCCACCACCGATGCAGAACTTCATCGCATTGAAATCCGACTAATCTGTATTCGCATCAGAAATTTTTTACTACGAAGGTTAAAATATAAATGTACTCCTTATCAAAAGTGACTCTGGTTTCTTGGACTCAAACCCAAAACTACTCATTAAAAATAAATAAAAAAGTATATATCCAACATTCCATCACAATCTTTCTCTCTACTCTTGAAGTGATTTAGACATAAAACATTTTAATTTGAGCATATTAATTATTTATTTAAATTGAGCAACATTAATTAACACAATAGGATAAAAAAAAACATATCCTTACAATAGTCACCTTGAATTCTTCCTTGTTCAACAAAATCTTAGCGGACTAATTTAAGAACAATAATATGGTACCAACCGCCATCTTTAGCAACTACCTCCAAAATTATATTACTTTTTTTTCTTTCAAATTTAATGACATTATCAATTAATTTATTCTTCCTACTTTTTTTTTGTTTTTTTAATCCACCTTGTGGTGACATAGGGTTTGGCATAAATCCCTATCATATTTTTTTACTATTAAGTAGTAAAATTATCATTAAAAAGATCTGATATCATGTTAAATTAAGGTTTTGAATCTAACTCACACTCTAAAAATTAGTTTAAAGAGAGAAGGATTACGCAAGCCTTGTAAGGAGTTCACTCGTCTCATTAACCATCGAGACTTTAATTTTATTATTCTTTAAAATTATCGACCCAAACTCAATATAGTTAAATAATATATGTTTTTAGTTTATCTGTTTATAATTGCGATTTCAACAATCATTTTGTCCATGGTTGAACTTTTTTATTATTATTGTTTTATAAAGGGTAATATGGACTTTTATTATACATATATAACTTATAAGATAGTGAAATATAATTATTTTATTGTGCAGGCAGCATACGAAGTATTCAAGAAAAATGTAGAGAAAGCCAGTAGTGTTGAAGGGTCCGTCAGAATGGATCGACCACCCTATATTGAGGTTCTCCGTTCACTTTTACTTATTTCTATCTTTCGATACTACTAAAAATAGAGATTTTATAAAATATAATTTTTCAATTTACTGAAAAAATGCATGGAGAAAAATAGATTCTTAAAAACTAGGAATAGCCGCTAGACATATTTTCTTTTCTTATTGATTCAAATAAAATATCTATGAGTCACTGAATATTTTTTAGTAGAAAATTTAAATGAAAAAAATAGTGTTTTTTTAGTAGTGCGAGAGTCAAACTATATAGACTTTAACCAATATTTAAATATATTTTTTTCATCATATTAATACGACGATAATTGTAAGTTATAGTATTTTTCATTTAATTTTTTTGATTTGTTAACACAAATGTAAGAAAAATTTAGGGTTACAAAATGTAATTAAGGTGAGATTAACAATAATAATCAAGTATTTATGAGGTGCAGGTGATACATGATGATAAGGAAAGCAAATTGCCACAATTAGTTTATATGTCACGTGAGAGGCGACCATCGAGCCCTCATCGTTTCAAGGCTGGAGCCTTAAATGCTCTTGTAAGTAATATTTTCTCCTACTTAAGGTTTTAATTTGTTTTTTCGATTTTATTCCGTGCAAAAAATATTTCGCGTTCACTTAATATTCGATCATTAAAATTGTAATCTGGAAGAAAAGTTTTTATAGCATAAAGGGGTTGAGTTTACATTTCATCAACTTTAACACTAGTTTTCTAGTATCAAGATTAATCACAAATAGTTTTAAAAAAAAAAAAAAAGAGTCTAGGAAATGGGAATATAATTTTTATATTATCAGATCATCTAAGAAAGTCAATCACACGTAAATTTTTATAGTAGAGATATATAAAGATTGGTAAGCTGCAAAACATACTAACAATGTGATGACAGGATCTTTTAATCAGATGTTTTGGTTTTGAATCAATCCTAGTAGAAGCACATTTACACAACATGAATTCAAATTATTTTGGCCAGTATGTATGTTCCGGATAACACATAAAAACTAGTTACTAACCTAGCTACTTTCCTATATTTAAAAATCACGAACAATCACTACTAGAAATCAGTCAATTTTTGAACAATCACTTATGGTTATTATTGGTTTGTGGTGACATGCAGCTTAGGGTTTCAGGGGTAATGAGCAATGCACCATATATGCTTGTTTTGGATTGTGACATGTATTGCAATGACCCTTCTTCAGCCAAGCAAGCAATGTGTTTTCATCTTGATCAAAATATTTCTACTACTCTTTCCTATGTACAATTCCCTCAAACCTTTTATAATGTTAGTAAAAATGACATCTATGATGCTCAATCAAGATCAGCATACAAGGTACCAACACATCCTCTTAATATATGTTGCAACAATTGTATTCTATATATTACAAGTTTTTCAACTACAATTTTTGGGTGAGTACCGGGCTGGGCTGGGCCAAACCTGATCCATTTGGCCGTTTTCAATGGGTCGGATTGGGGCCGGGTCTTGGAGAAAAATGGTCAAGAGTGGTTTTGTTGGGCTTGGGGTGGGCCGGGCCAGCTGGGCCCTTTTCGGGTTTCTTTCATTTTTGATGCATCGGCCAAACTTAATTACAAGCACTAATCCAGACTTATATATTGGTTATGTATATTATATGTACATTTATACTTCATAAATATATAAAAAAATTATATACTTACTGGCTATTTTGTAAATTAGATCATCAAAGACGACATAATTGGACTATAATTATCTCTTCTTCTTTTTTTGGCTATGTAACTTAATTTTTTTTAAAGAACTTTTTAAGTGGATACAAATTTGAAAATAAATTTCATTTCATTTTATTAATTGACAATTTCATAATTCAAAGGTTACAACAAGATTTTTTATACTATTATATTGCTTAACATTTTTAGTGACCATTTTTACTAGATCACCCACTAATGCTAATCATATAAGTTTACTTATAGTTATTGTATATAATATGTTATAAATGATCTGATCGTATAAATATTTTTTAAATCATCAGTATATACTTCTTAAAATCTCATTTCTCTCTCTTTATAGAATAAGTATCAAGGAATGGATGGAGTAGGAGGGACAGTTTGTGCAGGCACAGGCTATTATTTGAAGAAAGAAGCATTATATAGTACTCCAATTAACCAAGATGATATGACTACACTTTTTCTAAAAGCTCAATCAGAATACAAGTGGGAATCTCAATTGTATCAATCAGGTTTTCATCTTATTAATTTACACATAATTGTGGTTATTTTTTTTAAGGGAAAAAGGACAAATATACTCCCAAACTATCGTAAATGGTATGCATATACCATTCGTCATACTGTTGGATGACATTTGATGCCCATATCGTCCAAAAACTAGAGCATATGTACCCTTTATACTAACGGACATACACGTCATAATCTTATCCACCGACCCGACATTTATTAAATATTGGATCGACAGATAAGTTTGTGTCACATGTCCCTTTTGAGTCTTCCATTAGAATGAAGGGTATATATGCTCTAGTTTTTGGATGGCAGAAGCACCAATGTCCCAAAAGTATGACGGAGGGTATCTACATACTATTTACGATAGTTCGGAATATATTTGTCCTTTTTCCTTTTTTTTTAAGCATATAATTCTATGAACATTTTATTTATTAATCAAATATATTTGATTCATAGAGGAGTCACTTCAAGAGGCAGAAGAAAAGTTTGGTGCTTCTAGAAAGTTCATCAATTCTATTAACTCTTTGAATGATCAAAGAAATGGAAGGGAGAATGTTCTATGTGATGAGACGATTGATGAAGCTAAAACTCTTGCTTCTTGCACATTTGAAGAAAATACAAGATGGGGTAAAGAAGTAAGTATCATCCTATTATTACTAGTCCATATATATTTTTAGGAAGGTTAAATAAGCAGGTTGAACTGAATTAAAACGGTTAAAATGAGTTGAGTTAAGAGAATAAATAAACAAGTCATTAACTCATTCAAGATTAAAATGAGCCGAGTCAAGATGGAGTAAATAATGAATCATAATCAAACCTGATAACTCTTTTTATGTTTAATTATATCAAACAGAACTAACAAAACTCTTTTTTCTTTATTATGGTCATATATAACACATCAAATAAAAAAAAATTGCTTAGCCCAATTTTTGGATTGACTAAATTGAGTGGGTCAAAAGAGCTAAATTAGCTGAACGAGTCGTTAGACAATCCAAACTTGGACGGTTTAGATGTGTCATATATTCATGAGCTTGTTTTGCCACTTCAATTAATACTTTTGTATTTGTGTCTGTTAAATTATGTAATTATTTCATCTAAAAGCTTAAACTGTTGTTTCAGATAGGGTACTCATACAACAGTTTACTAGAGAGCTCATACACAGGTTATCTCTTGCATTCTAAGGGGTGGAAATCAGTATATCTTTATCCAAAGAGGCCATGCTTCCTTGGTTGTAGCACCATTGATATGAAAGATGCTTTGGTCCAACTAATGAAGTGGGCTTCTGGGCTAGTACAAGTTGGGCTTTCAAAATACAGCCCACTTACTTATGGGCTCATGTCAAAAATGCCTTTAGTCCAAAATATGTGTTATGGATACTTCATGTTCTCACATTTTCTCTCCATTCCTTGCTTCCTTTATGGCATTGTTCCACCTTTGTGCTTCTTGATGGGCACTCCAGTGTTTCCCAAGGTAAAAACTTAATTTTATCACTTATATATAAGTATCTTTTCAAGTATAATATCATTAAAAATATGTTTGAAAATTCCGGTTTTGCAAGTCGAAATGGACATATGAGTGATTGATTACAAGAGAAAGAAAAGTCGATCCAAAAGGCTTGATGGAAATTTCCTTGAACTATAGTGGTGATTAATGAAATTTCTAGTTTATTTTCTTGTTTAATCATCTGGTATCCAAAATTTATTGGTGTGGTTTAAGTCAGATCATGTTGCATAGGGGCCCATTAAGGAGGAAGCATTCCCTATAAGAAAATTTTACATTCCTAAGACTCGAATTCCAGACCTTTGATTAAAATGAATTTTATCTATCCCGACAAATCTTTGGTGATATACTAATTCGAAATTATATTAGAATTAGTGCCAGTCGTGTGAGACAAAATAATTATTTTTTGAAAAATTCATATACATGACTCACTCAATTGTCCTTATTTATTTACAGGTGACAAGCCCATGGTTTGCACTATTCACAACCATATTCTTATCATCTTTGGCTCAACATTTATATGAAGTCTTGTCTAGTGGTGGCAACTTAAGGACATGGTGGAATGAACAAAGAATTTGGATAATAAAAACAGTCACAGCTTGCTTATTTGGATGCTTAGATGTTTTAATGAAGTGGATAGGTGTTGCAAAGGCAAATTTCAGGTTAACAAACAAAGCCATAGATGAAGAGAAATTAAGGAAATATGAAAAGGGTAAATTTGATTTCCAAGGTGCTAAGTTGTTTATGGTTCCTTTGACATTTTTAGTGGTGTTTAATGTGGTATGTTTCATATTTGGAATGAAAAGATTGGTCTTAGAGAGGAACTTTGAGGAGATGTTTGGACAAGGTTTCCTTTCTTTTTATGTCTTGGTTCTTAGTTATCCTATATTAGAGGGTTTAGTAGTATCAAAGAAAGACAAGTAAAATATGTTTTCTTGGTTATATACAAGAAAGCAAATTTGTGTATATCATGTATAAATAATGTTGGTACAATAATACAAATGTTTTATGCTTTCAATTTATTGCATTATTAACTCATGTACATCCGACCTTTCATCTTGATTCATAATAAAGAAAAGCAGGAATTAAAGGCACATATTTCTTGATTTTTTTAGAATTTTGAAGGACATCAATCTTTTGTTTTGTAGAAGTATATCTCTCTTTTTAATTTCCATAAAGAGAAAAATATAGTCCACTTGGATGGAAGGGGAGACCATATTTTATTTTACCTGTGCCAAAAAATGCCTCCTCTTTTTTTTTTTCCGAAAGGTAACTTGTCTTTCATTTTTCTTTTTCAAAATTACAAATTCTACTATTAAAATGAATACCTTTAAATATTGTCGGAGTGGTGATCTGGTTGTGTGTAATTTTTATTTTTTTTACGTAATGTCAAAGTTAATAGGCTCTATTGGACGAGAGGGAGTTGCTCGGATGGTAAACACTCCTCACTTCCAACCCGAAGGTTGCGAGTTCGAGTCACCAAGGGAGCAAAAGGGATGGGAGCTCCTAGAGAGGGTAAAAATAATGAAAAAATAAAAATAGGCTCTATTGATGAATATGTCCTGTCTTAGCCCACTAATATCTTTCTCTTTGGGAAATAATTGATCAATCATCACGTGACATGTTTATATATGTATAACTAACCATTATTTGGCCAAATATTGCTCCAATTAATATAGATGTGTGTTGAGTAGGACTTATAAAGGGAAAAGATTAAGTTTTTCTACTTTTCAGGAATCGAGTTCGAGATCTTTGGAAAAGAAAAAGGAATATAATCTCCTTCATCTCAAAATACTCCTTGATGGTGAATTTTAACTTTAAAGTATCTTGTTCATGTCTGAAATAATTTAAGCATTATATGTATTTCTTAAGTATTTCAACTTATAATAGGTATTAATCCTCTCTAGAGTTTGAATTCATACAAGACAATATGATCATAAGAAGCTAATTATTTGAGTTAATATCTTAAAAGGTCACTCAACTTTGAGAATTTATCTAGTAAAATCATTGAACTTTGTTTTGTATCAAAAAAATCACTCAATTTGTGCATTTATATCAATAAAATCACTCAACTAAATTTATCATTAAATTATTTTTTATAACATGTAAACACAAACCCCACAATAAATAAAATTTTAAAAACTCATTACAAAAAAAGCAAGGACATACTTAATTAGTTAAACCGATACTCTTGTGATATTACAATAAACAAATGTACACTAATACTCGAAACAAATTCACGACGAAAATTCGAAGCTCACAAATTCAACTTTATTGTTCCTCTTCTGTCTACGAGGTTTTCTTTTTCTATTTTCAGAAAGTTGCGAGGATTTGTTAAAAAAATTTTGCTCTGTTTCCGGCGAATTTCAGAATACAATTGCATCGGTAAGTATTGCCAAAAAATAAATAAAATGAGTATTGAACTTTTCTATTGTTTCGTTTTTTATGTTTTTTCTATGAAAATATTTGCGAAACACTTTAATTTCGTGGAAAATGATAGGTGCTTAACTTTTTTCGCTAGAAATGATAATTGTCGAGCAGGAAATTTCATATGGTATGATATTATTGTATATTTATTTATTGTAATGCCATAAGAGTACTTATTTCACTAATTAAATTTGTCCATAAAATTTCTTAATGAGTTTTCTTTAATTTTATTTACTTATGGGATTTATGTTTCATGGTTTAAAGATAATTTATAATTTTGTCAAACTTAGTTGATTGATTTTATTGATACAAATGCATAAGTTGAGTGATTTTATTGATATAAAATAAAGTTCAATGACTTTATTAGATAAATTCTCAAAGTTGAATGACCTTTTGAGATATTAACTCTAATTATTTCTAGCTAAATTACAACATTCGATATTAGTTGTATATAAAATTCTTTTATTTGAATCTTTAGTATCTAAAAATACTTATACTCCTTGTTTGGATGGTTGTTGCATGTTGTATTGTATTGTTAGTCTAAATACAAAGTTTGTTTTGATTGTTACTTAAATTCTATTGTATCGTATTGATCGCTTAAATTATGGAAATGTGATATTATGTAAATCTTTTCAAACTTTGTATTCATTAAAACAATACAATACGAAATAATACAATACAATATATTATGAAACAATACATAAGGTTTCAACTCATGTAGTGTCCAAATCCAATTCAATCATCCATCATTCCCTTATAAATCAACACAAAAGCTTCAACAACTTTTTAACCCCTTCATTAATAGCTTTCTCCCCTTTGAATTTTATCTTTTCACTCAATTCCATTGCCTTTAAATTAACTTGTTTCCTAGTCTTATCCTCTACCACCCTCTTTATTCCTTTTGCCACCTCTTCTTTCATTATTTCCCCATTTTCACCTCTCAATATCTCCACCCCTATGCCAAGTTCCTCCACTAATCTTGAATTCAATGGTTGATCATGATTCATAGGCATGGCTATTATTGGTATGCCAAAACTCATGCTTTCTAACATCGAATTCCATCCACAATGAGTAACGAAACCTCCAATGCTTGAATGGTTCAAAATTTGACTTTGTGGTATCCATCCTTCAATAACCATCCCCTTTCCCTTTGTACTTTCAAGAAAACCTTGTGGAACCATTTTTTCTATTGTAGTGTTCACCCCTTTTGAAAATTTGATTGTCCAAATAAAGCTAACTTTGCTTAGCTCAAGCCCTTTTGCTATCTCTTCAATTTCTTGCTTTGACAAGAAGACTTCACTTCCAAATGATACATAAACACATGATAAACGATCCTTCTTATCTAGCCAGGATTGAATTGTCCCCCAATTCTCCTCCTCACCTATGGTCGCCTCGCGAATAAGTGGTCCAATTGGTATCAACTCCTTCTTTCCTATGGTAGAAACATAATCTATATACTTCCCCTCAATCTCCCTACAAGTGTTCAAAAAAAACAATATTGTGAGATTGTTCAAAGGATTTAAGTACCACGTATGCAAAGGCTTTCTCATCGCGTGGTTTTATTGGTTTTATATCTAATTTCTTGATCTCATAGTCATGAAGATACAATGAAGAAAAAGGCAAAGATGTAAGGTTTGAAGTCCCATGAAGAAATTGGTGGTAAAGGTAGGCAAGACCAGAAGTTGAAGAAACATAAAACATAATAGCATGAATATTGCATGATGAAGCCATAGTTGCTACCCATGGTTGGAACCCATCATATATAATCAAGTTAGGTTTTAGGGTTTCAATTATGCTTGGAAATTTGGAAGAAGCCATTTGAAAGGCTTGAATAAGAGTGGAATTAAGATGGGGAGGGAGGTCATTAGTTGTATGGTAATGAGGAGGTAACTCATGCAAATAAGGCAAGTGAAATTCAACAAGTTGTATGGA